GGGAAAGCTCTGTGTGGATGTGCAGTCCGTACTGCTCCAGCACTAAGAATCTGAGGGGTGAAGGCGTCTGTGTCATGGTGTGAAGCATATATCAGAGCAGCACTCCACCCCGACGGGTACCTGATGGCTAGTGCAATGCACCGAGAGACAGTGATGGAAGCGCCTCCAGACACATTCCTTTCCTTTTGCTTTCTCCTTTCTCTCCTCCCCCTGTCCACATCTACATCCTACATGATCACAGCAATCCTTGCAGTTCGGGGAAGAAGGTGATAAGTAAACTTTTCAAATCTTTTTGAAAAGAAGGATTTAAAAAAATTCATTTTCTGCAACTAAAGGCCCGTCTGCATTAGTTTGGTTCCCTTTGAAGTCTGGAATGCTTGCGCTGGTTGGTTTTGGGGCGTGGGTTTTTTTCTGAGTCCTAAGCAACTTCAAATTTCCATAAATTAGAAACACATTTAAGTTTCAGAAAACAATTATTTGGCAGTTGTTTTTACGAGAAAAACGTACTGCAGACACAACTCCAAACTACAAAAGACCTTTCAGGTTGGATTGTTCGGAGCAATGCAGGACCAGCCTAAATATCTGAGCAAACTGCTGTATCAGCCAAGCCTAGCACACAAAACCAGGGTCTTAGATGCATGTGAATTACGTGTAAATGTGATAGCAGGCTCACACTGATTAGTCTCCTAAGCAAGGTAATCTGGGAATAGATCCATGAGGGTTTTGTATTTTGAGAAAGTCCAAGACGACTGATTTTTTCAGATGCAGAACCACAACTACTTCAAAAGGGCTGCATGGGGGTAGGCAGATAATAGTAGAAGCTTAACACTTGTGAATAAAAGGAAGAATAAGTAATGCTGATGAAATGACTGGTGAGTCCACTAAGATAAAGCCACATGGAAGAGTTATTCACTCCTTCCAATGGAGTGACAATGGGTGACAAGTGTTCTGTCATTACAAATTGCTTCAAGACTAATTTAGAGATAGCATAGTCTGATAGCCTAAAGAGATAATAGCTTTCCATTTAATCCAGACAAAACACTAGATTAACTGAGCCACTAAATCCATTAATGACATAGATTATGTTTCAAATCACAAAAAATCATAGCTGTAGACTATAACTGTGTTGGTAAAGTACCTGTAAAGTACCTGCATTTGATCAACATGAATAAGGACAAATCCTTTTGCAGAAATAATATTGACTCAGCATGGCTCTAAACTTTGTAGTCTCTCCAAAGCACCTGAGGAGCACACTTCCCAGCAGCGCTGAGAACACACCCACTAAGCAAAAACCTGTCCCTTTGCAGTGTTTTTTACCTCAAAATTGCCAAACTGGGTATCATTTGAAACAGCCTAAATTTCGAGAGAAGTATATAGCAATATATAATTGCCAGTAAGAATTTGGGAACTCATGCAGTTTGTAAGATCAAACAGTTCAACATTTAACCATGTGCCCAAGAATGAAGACACAGTTACAAAGAGAGATGAATAAAATCTTACTTCTTTGATCTTTATTAAATTAGGATTTTTAAAGATACAAGGTGGACAATAGCAACATCAAAAATCTCATTTTATAGCTTAGAATCATAGAACCACAGAATCATATAATAGCTAGGGTTGGAAAGGACCTTAAGATCATCTAGTTCCAAACCCCCTGCCACAGGCAGGGATGCCTCACACTAGATCATGTTGCCCAAGGCTGTGTTCAACCTGGCCTTAACACTGTCAGGCATGGGGCATTAGACACTCCTTTGGGCAACCCATTCCAGTGCCTCACCACCCTCACTGTAAAGAACTTCTTCCTTGTATCTAATCTGAAATTACCCTCAAACATCCTCAATTTATTCACAAATTACAACAGATTAGTTGTCGGCAGATTACATAGGAAGTCTGTGTGGCACATCATGTCACATTATAATGAGGAAGGAAGCCAGGAGAATTCTGGAACAGAAGAGAGAAAGTTGGTTTTGGTTTTCTTACAAAAGAGTATCTTGATGTTCCATTTGTCTGCTAAGGACTTGTGGTAAAGACTATGGGGAAACGTAAATATAGGAAGTAACATCTGTATAATCTTGTTTTGAAATCTCAGCACCATCAATACACAGAACTCACTGTGCTCTCACACTCAGAGGTACAGTATATGCTGAACTTCCAATGAAAACAGGAAAAAAAACAATTCTTATTTGCTTATCTTCAGTATACGTTTTTGCCTATATTTTGCTTTTCATTGAATTGCAAAGCCTGAAGTTACATGTTTGTCTGGGTCTTCTGCTCATGAGCTTTTGTCATACATACACCTAAATTTCTATTATAGTACACTGTTTCAGAAAGTGCTTCAAAGTATACTCAGTACACAAGCAGTTTCAATCACAGTTTAGAGCCTAAATTCCTTTCAAAGCATTGGAGAAATAGGGACAAGCTCTGCTAGGATTATGTCATGATGACAAAGTACAGTTCCTTTTCTAGCATGGAATTGAAATAAACCATTCCAGACATTTACTCGTCAAATTTTCATTTGACAACTTTTTCACCTCTTTTTTTCTTTTTAAGTATTCCAAGTTCATGCCATAAAGAGCCTTTAAACTGAGATTCCAGATTTGATTGGCAAGAGGTTCAGTAAAGATATAACCTTGGGGAAATTCCATATTTAAGAAAGCGTATTCTTGGCGTGTGTCCGAATTCATGCAAATGTTGAGGATGTGAGGGAGAGAGTAGGCAGAATCATCATGCAGTACATTGCCTTCTTTCATTGTCGCTTTGATCATCCTCACTGCTCTTACGCTACACTCTCAATGCCAAATGAGACAGCCTCACTTGACTTGACAAGACAAATCATAGTTTTTTCTGCAGCTGACTAGGACTCTTTCTCCAGTAGTAAAGTATTTGTTATATCAACTCTTCAGTTTCATGCAAAAAAAGCAGAATAATCCCTGCGGGTTTAGCTACAACCTTTCCTGCGGGATTTGCTCATAGGCTTCCTGTAGCAACATGTCCAAGGACCACTTAGCCTTAACCTTGCTTACTTACAGAGCCACTAGTACATGAAACAGACAGTTATAGGCTATAGTTGCAATATATAGTTATAGTGTAACATGTAACTTGTTAAAACCACAGAGCGCCTCTGTCAGATGCTCAGTATTTGCCAAGCTGAATTAAGTGGCATTCCTAGAACTGAAAGGGTAACCTTGGGATACCTCAAAGTGGCTAAACAGCTCAAATAAATCAGAGACTATATTTTGCCTCCTGCATTTGGCAGAAAAGAATACTCCCTTCTTTTTGTCGCACACCCCAGAATATTTAGGATTATAATAATCAGAAAGATCAGGAACTCTTTCAGCTGAATATATGCATGGCAAAATTTCCACTTTTGTATTATTTTAAGCCTCAGATTTTGCTCTCAGGATGTGTCATGTTCTTACCACCAAAAGAAAAAAAAAAAAGGTTGCTCTTCTACAGTATCCAGAGAGCAGAGGGAGTAGGAGTTAACTATTAAGATAGCAGCATATTGTACAGTTTATGAAGATGTTTATGAAAATTATTTCCTGTTACGAAAAAGATGTAGTGTACAAAATTGCTGTTCCCTTTGTAAGTTCCCTTTGTAAGTACATTGTTGGAAATACTAAGGGTTCTCTCTTCTCCTGGACAAACAGCCTCTGTAAGGTCACACAACCCTCTAGACATAACAAAATGACAAAGACATTTTTGGATGATGATGCATAAGCGTTCCTTGCACACTCTCTACATTATTTGCACTTTCTCTTTTCCCATCACTATCCTGAGAAGTTTATTAGTAATAGAGGATAGATGATTATAAGCATTAAAATACCATGTAGTGGACATGAGAAGTCCATATGGATCTCTGCTGATCGAGACATGGAAGACCTACATAACTCTTCATGCTTATTTTTTACAGTGTGACTTCTGTGAGACTACCTGGTAATGTTCTAACATAAATGTTCTTCTAGTAACATGTAGCTGTTTTATTCTACGGGTTATGATGCAGAAAGGTTTGATTCCATTCCTCTGAAATCTGCTTGAAAGATTCATCTCTTTTGTAGAAACCTGTTTATATTCCTTGCCAGGTTTTTGCATGCAAGTAACAATTAACTGATATGGTTGTGAAGGACTAATACTCTTTTTTATTAAGGAGCTGCTTAATGTGCTGTTCTCACATCATAAATTTTGTGAAAATTATTCACACTTCTCCCAAATGTAATAATAAAATTTCACCATGGCTTTTTCAACTGCATTTTTCAATATTCTGTTTCTACAAAATTGAAAACTATTTAAAAATAAGACGTGATTCTGGGGAAAAAGTAAATGGTTTGCTTTTCATATAACATGACAATATTTTAATAAGAAAAGTCTGAAACTCTGAAACTCAAATAAATGACACCTACGCAAAAAGAATCATATGTGTTACTAATATAAGTAGAGGAATGAATAAAATGAAGCAGAACACAATCTTACAAGAATTACCATATTTATTTTTTTATTAAAAACAGACAGTACACCAAGGTTTAAAATATAAATATCAAAATTATTGCACATTTGGCTAACTAGCTTTCTTTGACAGTAATATTTTACAACATCATTGTTCAATAATATGCTTTGGCAGATTAATCTACACAAAATCCATGATGTGTACCTTTTCTGTTTACATCATAAATAATCCTACAACAGTAAGGTAATTGTTCTGGTGTATGTATAAAACATCATAGAGTAAACAATACATGCTTTATGAAAGCTGGAAAGAAGGAAAGAAGAGAGGATGTCTCTTAATGCTTCCCTTACACCTTTGACTCAAATTTAAGCAACAGATATTTGCCCTCCCATTTGCAGTCATTTAACATAGGCAGTTCCAAGTATACATACAAATACACATATATTAAGAGGATTTGTAATAAATATGTATTGCTTTTATAGGCAGCTTCAAATATACAATCTTCTGTATGTCTTCCCAGTTTAGTCCATAAAAAAAAATGAGAGTTCCCCCACAGGTAAATATCCTTAATTAGAATGTGACTCTGTGAATGTCCCAAAGACTTTGTCCCAGTGGGTGAAGTAAGGAGCATAGTTTGATTTGAATTTCAGATGATGAAGATCATGATGTGGTGCTCCTCCATACAAACCAAAAGGCACAAGTCGGTGAGTTGACCACGGAAGGTCGTATCCTGAATGGTCCTCTACTGACAACCAAATGTTTACAAGAAAGAAAATCATTTCTGTCAAAGGATGGCATCCGAGGAGTACTGGGTTGATAGCAGCAAAAAATCCCAATGAAAGCAATTCCCATACACTGGAATATTGTGTAGTAAGAGCAAATGTTGACACATGCTTGTGATGCACCTTGTGGAAGGTCTTGTAGAGCCAAGGCACCTTGTGATGAATCAAATGCCACAGAAAGTACTCAAAATCAAACAGAAGCAGGCAAACTCCTACTTCCAGCAGGACCTCAGACAGCTCTGGAGCTCTCACTGGTAGATTCATTGGTTTCCAGTACCAGTGGAGAAAAGTCACTGGGAAGATAAAAACAACATGGTGATACACACTTTGAATAATGCAAGGCACCATCATTCCAAGAGTTGGATAGTTCTGTGGCTGGATTTTGTATTTTCTCAAGTTTGGTAGTCTAGTGCTTAAAAAGTCCAGTGCAATATATGGAAGACAGAAAGCCATGTATGCTGTAAAAGAAAACAGTACTGGGAAAAAAGGTGACTTGATCAGTGGCTCCTTTGCTGTGACAAAGTCCCAAAGAGGCTGAAGGCACAACCTGTCCCGCTTTCCATCCATCACGTAGCTGAGCAGCAGCACTTTGTCTGGCAGGGTGCAGTTCATGCTGATGGCAGTCTGAGAAGTCTGTGAATCCTGCAAGCCTTTATCTAGCCTGCTCAAGGAAAACTCCGCCCATCAGAAATCCTCCTTAGTAATACGTAGCTTTAAAGAGGAAGTTCCCTTTCCTGTTATACAGAAGACGTATAAGGCATTACAATCTCAGAACAGAATTAGCCGGTCAGGGTAATCACTGGAGCTCTACAAGAGACTTGCACAATGCAAAAACTAAGCAGAAATGCAGAATTCTAACACTGGAATTCAGAGAAAGAGGGTAGGAACATTTTCTTCTCCACTTAGTGCACACACTTGGAAACTGCTGTCTTAGTAATTTTAAATTGTGTCATCCTTTGTCTATTACCCTTATAGGTCAGGAAATACAACTTGCAATTGATTTTTCTTACATGACTGTTATCAAAGACGTGCATGTACATCTGTACAGGTCTGACCTGTGGATGTTTTTGGATGTTCATGCAAACACACATTTTCTTAATGATCCCTTGGGTTATACAACAGGCTAAGTCAAAACCTTAAGGAGACCTACACTATGCTTCCAGTCTGAATGTGGTGGCTATCTCCATCTGCTTTTGAGGCCATGTTCTCCTGTATGTTCCTGTATGTTCCTTTATGTACCTGACATGGCAAAATCCACCTGACTTGACTAGATACAAAATTGAGCCAATGACTTTGAAAAATTACCCCCAGTTGCTGGGAGCAATACAAGGTAAAATCTCATTATGCTTCCAAACAGCTACTTAGTGACAAGTATTACTGCATTATTACAATATTCACTCCACATCTCAACAGCTCTTTGAGCAGTATGATATGGAAATCATTCGTTACCCCAGTATCAAACTAACTTATGCAATTAAAAGATCCACTGTTCAGACCTAAGTCCTTTAACGGATCTTCCTTTGACCGTAGGCAAGCACACAGCAGCCAGAAGCTAGCAGGCTTGACCCCAACATTTCTAAAGTATTTTAGGGGTAAACAATGGAGGGTTTGATTTAACCAATAAGACATCATTCTTTTGTGCTTTAAAAAAAGGCAAATAAAGCTTTGAACATTTAGGGAAATGGAGCTTGCCATCAGCTTCCTATGAACTCACCTCTTTTGTAGGTATGGCATTTATTCTAATACTGGAAGTGAGCTCAACTTCCTGGATGACTTTATTAGCTTGTTCAGACGATTTTAGTTCTTTGCTATTCAGAAATGCAGTCTGATGGGGGGAAATGGGAGACAGAATTTCCTTGCTTCTCAATAATTAAGAATAATTAATTAGCCATGACCTTTTCTGAACTATGCATGGACTTCTCTTAATACTTAAACTTGCTTTCAATCTCCATCGTTTTCTTATAGAGATTCTGCTCTTAAGGAAGTGCAGATTTTGTTCTCTCCTTAGACATGAAGGAGTTTACTGAAACAGCAACATTATCTGTGCTATTATATAGGCAATCAGAAGTTCTTTGTTGGAGACAGGTATGGTGCAGCCTTCAAAGGCTCTACTCATTGAATACACATTTTAGAAATGGATTCAGATTCTCTGCTGTTGGGAGACTGTTCTGTTGAACTCAATTAATTCAGACTGTTGAATGCAGTGAAACTAAAACCCAGTGAGAAACAGTAATCTAATGGATGAGGATCTATATACAAGAGCTTCATTTCTATCTTCTGATTGTTTTTTACCGTGACCTCCATTTCACAGTAAATGAAAAATGCATTTGTAACTCAATCACCATCTGGGTCTGAAAACATCCTTGTGAGAGATGTTTTCTGTTGATTTATGTAGTTACAATCAGAAATTAAGCCTCCCAGATGGGACATGTGATTCTCTATTTTATTAGAATTATGCAGGGACTAAATTTATTCTATAATGTATCCCAAATCTGCCTAAAGGGAGATTGACAGAAATTGCTCAGCTGCCTTGAAGACAGTCCTCTCACTAATCCCTAATAGCTGTGTGAAGTCCCAAGAACTACTGCTGCCTATAAACTAAAATTTAAACAACAGGCATTTTGCCTGCAGATTAGGTCATAGAAAAATATTCTTAAATCCCTTAAGGAAAAATAACAGAATTCTGCAGTCTCAGTACCAGTATATCCTACAACATGAAGCCCAAGCAAGGCACAGGATGAGTAGAACTTGTCCCATTCTGCTGATGCTCCACGGGACAGCTCAGAAAAATGAATCGTTGCGCAGCAGAGGGCAAACCCTCACTCCGCAGCAACTCTCCAGTGTGAACCATGGTTCATGCTGTTTGGCTTAGCCACCAGAAAGCACTACTCACATATTTCCACTCCGCTAACTCAGGTTTCTTTGTCAGCACAAGGTACAACATGAAGAAAAGACAAAGTGCACACAAATCGTTTCTGTACTTAATTCAGCAATACAACCCCAGCTTTTTTGTTCACTCGACTTACGATGCTGCCAAACCTCCCCATATGTTACAGAACTCTAAATGGGTCTCAAAAAAATCAAAACTCCTGCTGCAGAGTTTAGGTTGAAGGGCACATAGTTTGGAATGAGGCCCCGCAAAGGGTCTTAAATAGATTCCACATGAGCACAAGACGCGAGCACCTACCCCAGGCTCGCGGTTAGGTACAAGCTGAAAGGTAAACAGCAAAACAGTAAGTGGGTAAGAAAATGAGGAAAAGGTGGCAGGAGGGAAAATCAGCATCGACGTACTGAAAGTACATCACAGAAGCTAATGTCACAGCAGCAGAAGCAAAACGTCTTTTTCCCTACTCCTCCCCCTCTGTATGGGGGGACTATTGTACCAAAAATAAGGCAACATCCCAGTGCATGCTGAGCCTTCTGCCAGAAAGAGGGTGCTGGAGAAGAGGGTTGGGAATTTGTGAGGACAGTAGCAGGGAAGCAGGACAGTAACCAGAGTACAGGCAGGCAGAGGCAGCCCCTTCTCTCGTATCAAAAGGGACTGCGATCCTCGCACCCTAACTCACC